TTTTTTTTTTAAGTTCCAAACTGTTTGAAAAAATAAAATCAAATGATTGTCTTCAGCAGGGAGAGCTGGGACAAAATGGGCCCTGTCAATGGAAGGGTAATAAAAATACAAAAGAACCTTCTGTAAAACAATCTGGCCCATATACCCTTGACCCAGTATTTACACCTCTGCAATGTCATCTGAAGGAAAAATTAAATATGGTAAAAGATTTATGAAAAATATGTTTCTTTCTAGCATTGTGTGTCATAATTGGAGGAAGCAGAATACTTTCTAAATGCCTGCAGGGTGGAAGATTAATAAACCAATAAGTCTACTCGGTGGGATACTTTATAACTAATAAAAAATATCTACAAGGAAAATACTGATATGTGTAGTGAAAAAAAGTTATGTTTATACAGTTGAGATCACTCCTTTATAAAACGCAACAACAACAAACTGTACAAACGAACCTGGGAGAAAATACGTCAGGGTAAGTAATTGTCTCTAGAAAATAAGAACACAGAAGGTTTCTTTTCTTTTCTGTTTTTCCTTTTTGTACATTTTCTGAATTTTCTGATTTGCCTTTAAATGGCTTTACTACTTATATTGTGAAAACTATACTCTTTAAGTGTTTTATTATTTTTATTATTAAAGTAATACATAATGGTTGTAAAAACAATTCATAATATAGGAAAACGTGTAAAGGTGAAAATAAACGTTCCTGGCCTGATTCTAATCCTCCTTGGTGTTCAGAGTTTATAAATTAGTGAACATCCTTTCTGACTTTCTTCTGAATAGAAACATATTTCCTTAAGAGCAAAACTAGGATTATAAACACACCAGGTCTATACCTGTATGTTGTTTTTCATTTTAATAGTCTGTCTTAGATACCTTTCCATGATATTTTAATTGGCCTCATTATAACAGCTGTACAATAGCATGTAGATGTTTTATCGTTCATTTTGCCATCCTTCAAGGGTGTTTTAATTTGTTTCTATTTATTGTTACAGTGCTGAGGTCATTATTTTTATATTTTGTGTGTGCACATACATGCATATATATTTGAATAACTGTATGTGAACTATATATAAAAATATAAATCTCTAACTCTTAAATATGGAGAACAGAGGGTTACTGGAGGGGTTGTGGGACGGGGGTGGGCTAAATGGGTAAGGGGCATTAAGGAATCTACTCCTGAAATCATTGTTGCACCATATGCTAACTAACTTGGATGTAAATTAAAAAAATAAAAGGAAAAAAACATTTTAAAAATGTAAATCTGTATATTTAAGGTCAGGTTAAAATATGTCTTATTACTTTATGATCCAAAGTTGCTTTATTATTTTTTTTAATTTTTTTTTTTAATGTTTATTTATTTTTGAGACAGAGAGAGACAGAGCATGAATGGGGGAGGGGCAGAGAGAGAGGGAGACACAGAATCGGAAGCAGGCTCCAGGCTCTGAGCCGTCAGCCCAGAGCCCGACACGGGGCTCAAACTCACGGACCGCGAGATCATGACCTGAGCCGAAGTCGGACGCTTAACCAACTGAGCCACCCAGGCGCCCCTGCTTTATTATTTTAAAAGTTGGTGTGTAATATACGAAACACATACAGCAAAATATTAATATCTGCTAAATCTGGGTGGTGGATGCCTGGATTTCTCTTACAGTCTTTTTTCTGCATTTTTGTATATATTTTAAATATTTCAACGTTTGAAAATTAAAAACAATTAAAAGAAGTTGTAGAACATCATGTGCATTGACTCACTGTGAAAACAGCAAAGGCTTGTTCACTAGAAACTAGTCCTGGGAAAGGCCGGGGTCTGTTTAACAAGGCGCCATGACCCGAGATATACAAGCACTTTTAAGTAGGGAACGGGGGACCACTAACGTGTGCTGAACGCTCACTTTGTGCCGGGCACTGTCCTAAGGGTTTTATGCGTGTCATTTAATTTTAACAAAACACATGGCGGCCAAAAAATAAAACTACAATGAATGATGACTTGCATATGTTAAATGCTTGCTAGAATCACATAAACAAACATACTAAAAATGCTAGAGTTGGGGCACCTGGGTGGCTCAGTCAGTTAAGCGTCCAACTTCAGCTCAGGGCATGATCTCACAGTTCATGAGTTCGAGCCCCATGTCGGGCTCTGTGCTGACAGCTCAGAGCCTGGAGCCTGCTTCAGATTCTGCGTCTCCCCCTCTCTCTGCCCCTCCCCTGCTCATGCTCTGTCTCTCTCTGTCTCTCAATAGTAAATAAACGTTAAAAAATTTCTTCTTAATAAAAAATTTAAAAAATGCTGGACTTGGAAAAATAGGGGGG